AGGTATATTCCTTAATTAAGGAACATTGGAGCCTCTGGGTCGCCACTCGCTCAGTTACCGCCGGAGCCCAACCGCGAGGCCCTGGTTACAGTGCTTTACAGGGCTTAGGGTTTAGGGATTAGGGTTTAGGGTTTAGGGTTTAGGGTTTAGGGTTTAGGGTGTAGGGTTTAGGGTTTAGGGTTTAGGGTTTAGGCTTTAGGGTGTAGGGTTCAGGGTTTAGGATTACTTAGAGGTTCATCGGACGTAGAAACTAGGGTTATAAGTAAGGTAACTAGACTTATAAAACCTGAATTAGGGTACTTATGACTTTACTTACTAAGTCCCATGATCCTCCAAGTAGGGTTCAGGGCTTTGGGGTGTATTGCTTGGACCTCTTTCATCGTAGGAGTGAATACCATGCTTGCATTCAGAGCGACATGAAGTCTACGATGCGGTCCCTTTTATAGGCTAGTGTCCACAATAAGGGCTATGCAGAGTTCCCGGTCAGTGTCAAGGAGGGTACTAGGAAAAACCGATGCTCTTGGCCTTACTGTTGAGGGGTTACTAGTGGACCGCAGCTTCTGTGGCGCGGTTCGAAGCCCTGTACCCACTGCCACACTGTAACCCCTAGTGCCCAAGCGCTAAGCGTTCAAAGCCGCATTAGCCCCCGAAAGACAAGCTCCGAACCCCCAAAATCGCCCGAAACAGTCCTCCGGCAGGCAAAAGAAGAGGTATCGAAAGCCCAAGAAAGGCGCCAACCAGCGTTTGGGGTTACCGGGCTCCGGGTGCCGTTTAAGGAGTGAGGGTTCCTTTGAGGGTTGCTATAAGGAATCCTTTAAGTGCTCGTAAGGGTTCAGTACATGCGTCCTTTCAGGTTTTTGTTCAGGCTCCTTGAAGGCTTCCTATAAGGAAGTTTCCAAAAATTAGGGTACCGTATTTTGGGGGTCCTTATAATAAGGATCTTATTATTTAGGGTACTATATTAGGGTCCCCTATTTTCGGAAACCCCCATAACGGGCTTTGTTGCCCTGGCTCGAATGCGCAACAAAAGTCGGCCGGTTTTTGTTGTTCAGCATTTTCCTTTCGGCGAATGGTCAATCTTTAACTGAGTAGAGGACGACAAAACAAGGCTTGAGACTTGATGAAGTGTTGTGGAACCTATTCGAAGAATGCCAACTAGCCGCAGGCTTGATTTCTGCACCGCTACTTTTGCTGTTCTACTTCTGTGCACTTGTACTACTGTACTAACGGCTTTACTACTACTGCACTGCTACTGTAGTACTAGTGTGCTACTACTGTACCCTAAACCCTAAACCCTCAATCCTAAACCCTAAACCCTAAACCCCAAACCCCAAACCCTAAACCCTAAACCCTAAAACTACTCTACCGGGACCGGAGGAGTCTCGGGATCACACGGGGATCACACTATTCAGGCCGCCGGGAAATGGTTGAATTCACGGCGAACCCAAACCTAAACCCTAAACCCTTAACCCTAAACCCTAAACCCTGAACCCTAAACCCTAAACAAAACCTCAAACGGTTTAGGGTCTAGGTTTTGAGTTTTTGTGTTCAAGGTCGTATAGAAGGCCAGCCCAAAGCTCAAACTTCGAGTCTTTCTTATAAGTCTTGAGACCCCCATACTTAGGAGTTCCTGGGACTTAGTAAGCAAGGTTATAAGTAAGGTAACTCGACTTATACTTACTTATAGCCCCAAATAATTCGGGTACTTATATCCTCGCTTACTAAGTCCCATGATCCTCCAAGTAGACCCTAAACCCTAAACCTATAATAGTACCCCCCCCTATAGATCCCTTAAAGGGCCCCTTATAACCCTTACTTACTAAGTCTCATGATCCTCCAAGTAGAAGCCCTGGTACTTTGGCGACTTCGGATCCAGGCTGCGCAAAGTTACCATCTTGGCCCTCAGTGAAGCCGACGCTGCAGAAGGCGGCGGCAGTGAGCTTGAGGAAGGTTCAGGGGTCAGGGGTGTGGGGTTTGGGGTTTAGGGGTTTAGGGGTTTAGGCGTGTACGGTTAGGGGTGTAGGGTTTAGGGTTTAGGGTGTGGAGTGGTCCCTAATCATTGAACTGCCCTTCCGGGAGGTCCCTACAATTCGGATCTCGCTCGATTCCTCGATCGGAATGATTTAATACCCTAAACCCTAGATCCCTAAACCCTTAACCCTAAACCCCAAACCCTAAACCCTAAACCCTAAACCCTCATCATGAGTCCACACTTGGGTTGTTGGGCTTTGGGGACTTGGCTCGAAGGCCTTTCGGGCTTTGCGGGCTTGGCCTTTGGAGTGGGGTGCTACTTAGGGGGGGTCATGGGAATTGGGCATAACTTCATCCTGATCCTCCAAGTCCGATCTAGGTCTCCACCTTTATGGGTTTTGTTCGAGGGCGTACCGCGTACCCAAGAAGCCGAAGGCCCTAAAGCCGAGAAAAGCCTGCAACTGGGTCCTTGCCAGCATCCCTTTACTGGTTCCATTATGGGTTTGGGGTCCCCTATATAGTACGGCTATCTCCTAATAAGAAGCACCAGGAGGATCCTAATGTACAGACCTACCCATAATTACCCAATAGGCCCTAAGTACTTACGTCACAGAAAGTGGGTTGTCTATCGATTTTGGTTTGGGTAAGTATCCCCCATGTAGGCGCTTAGGACCCTTTGGGCTTTGAGTTTTTCGGTATCGGGTTCAGCCTCTACCTTAACCTACTATAAACTATGCTATACTGGACTATACTATACCATACTGTACTGCACGGTACTATACTATACTATACCATGCTACGTACAGTTGTTTAAGGGCTCATAATATAAGGGAAACCGGAAAGAGGAATCCTAAAGAGTTTCGCTGTTTGGTGTTATGGCATAGGTTGAAGCACAACACTAAATGTGTGCTTTTCTGAATTAGTGTCCCTATTTGGATCCCCCAGATAGCACGGCACCCTTGTACAAAGGCCTCTAAAATGGACCCAACCTGGAGGATCATGGGACTAAGTAAGTAAGGTTTTAAGTACTCAAAGTCTAATTGGATGTACAAGTAATCATGAGTAGAGCTACCTTACTTATAACCCAAGTTACTAAGTCCCATGATCCCTAAAACCTAAACCTAAACCCTAAACCCTGAACCCTAAACCCCAACCTAAACCCTAAACCCTAAACCCTAAACCCTAAACCCTAAACCCTAAACCCTAAACCCTAAACCCCACCCTTAAACCCTTATAGTACCCCTATAGATCCTCCAAGTAATGTAGCGAACTCGACTCCTGGAGTCACTTGGCTTCGGGTCTAAGCTGCGAGGTGGGACTTTCCGAAAATAGGGGACCCTAATATAGTACCCTAAACCCTAAA